CGAACACCCATTGTCAACAACAAACATGTACTATAAACCGAATAAAATAAGCATATGCTATAATGAAGTGGGAAATTTTAGCATAACAGACGTCGAAAACCAGTAAAAGAAGAGTAAGCAAGTAAGAAAAAAGTGAGTACAGGAGATCATATAGAAAATTAAAAGTGGTTCTGCTCACATAATATAAAAAAGTGTTAATGGATGGAAATATAGGTAAAGAAAATATTATTTATCTCATTCTAATTATCATATAAAGAATTTCTAATGAATTCTTTAATCTCTTTCATCTCATCAGCTCTTTCCACATCCTGTGCTTGAGAGTCCATTGTAACTTGAGTAATCTCGGGCATTATTTGTCTTACTCGATACTCATACGCTTCAGGCAGGACATATGATTGATCTTAATATAAAGTATTGAATTCACATCATGATGTGATGGGTGGCATCGTATGAAAAAATGCAGTGTATGGTTACCCCAACTATTTTAATCTACTTTTGGAATGAGTAAGTAGGCATGTCTCTTAGAATAACACATTTATTCTTCCAGACTCGAATGCTTGTTTAATGACACCACATAATGGTAAGTGTCAGTCATTGAATATTTCTTTCCTCGAATCATTTGATTGCTCCTTTCAAGGTCAAGCAAAGGATAATTTGTATCAAGATACTACTTCAAAAAGACTCATTGCATAGGCTATCTAACATCCACAAGATAATATTTTCCTAATAAAAGATGAATAAATTGAGTTTGTTGTAGACTGCATAAGATGCACATATTGTAAAGATGGCTAACCTAGAAGCGGCATGGGAAAATTACATTGAGGTGACTGTGTGACATATTTGAAAACACAGTTATCGTGTTCAATTCATTCTCAGTCGGTCATCACGAAAGTGAAGCACACATTAAAGTCACATGTTATTATTATACTTTGTGTGTGTGAGTCGCAATGGCCAATACATCTCACCTTCTCACCATTAGGGATACGAGCATCCACACATGTTCCATCAATCGTTCTGATGCAATTCTATATAACAAGGAAGTTTATTAATCTTAAAATTTATGTGATTTATTAACACAACAAAATAGAAATATAATATTTACCTTAAAAGCAAGGCATATACCGACAATCATGAGTATCCATGATGGCACGTCTAAAAAGATGTAGCTAACGGTTTTATAACTCTAGAGGACAACCTGGCCAAGGCATTTAGACCAATAGAAATACTTATTAATTATTTTAGAAGAATTTTGAGATCACTCACTTGTTGCCCTCACAGATTCTTTGTGATAAAATATACAATGTTATAACCAACATCTCTCTTGATGTTGTCCGGGATGATTCGTCGAGGTTATGATGAATTTCTTACTCTTGTAAGAGATCTAGAAAAATGAAAGATGACATGCAAGACATGTTATGAAATCTTCCAGGGTAACCCATTAAGTAAGTCAGCAACTCAATTCTCCTTAATGAAGATAGAGATCAAGCATGGAGACTTGCAAATTTATGGCTCACAGAACTTATGAATTAGGTAAGTTGTAGCAAAAATGATTTTCATACATTGATTTCTTTGATTAATATCCTTAAATGCAAACATTAAACAACTTATCAACTATATAAAATATATAATGCTTAACAATTCAATAGTACACAACAAGCGCACGGTGATAGCTAACAAAACAAGATAATAGTAGTGAATATTACGTAACAATTCAACTCCAATATTTTGCAAAAAAGTTTATAAAGTATCTGAAATTAAACTACACATTATGATTCTCATATAAATAACAAATATACTGAACCCTTTACTCCAAAACCATAGCCATAAAAAGCTCTTTCTTATTAACATCCTTGAGCACTTTCATAGAGTGCAAATAAAGAGGAATGCCTTAACATTTTTTTGTGAATTGATCGAGCACAATGTTAGATTCAGAAAGGGATGGTGATCTATGAGGCACACTCGAAATAGATGTCATAGTGGTACATAGATTCACTAACTCCGCAATTTGATTTATTAGAAAACTAACACCTTTTTTTTTTTAATCTCTTGGACTCTCAGATGTCTTATATTTTGAATAGCTCAATTTAGTGCGATCATTTGCCCCATGAAACAATTCGTCAATGAGATCATTAGTGCTCTCTCTGGGTCAAAATTGTAATAACCGTGTAGGTTCGGAAGGCTCTTGGCTAGAAAACTGCAGTAGCAATAACAACACCAAGTATTTGATCAAGCTTCTCTTCCAGTTCGGGACCTATGCCTTAGCATCTTTTTTTTGCATTTAACACAACCTACAGTTTTTCAAATATAGATATTAATTGTAAGTACGCATGTGTACTTAATAAAAAGATTGGAGTGTATAAATAAATAGCTTACGTGTAGCTTCTCTCGCCATCACTCATTTGATGCGTCAATGGTCTTCTTTATGGAATCACAACCCAACCCTACCCAACCCAATTGATCATTATTTAAACTTCATCAATTATTCAATTGAACTCACTTTTTTTTTAGTTATCTTGTATTCTCTACCATTCTCTTTTGAAATTTGTCTTAATATTCTATTAACCCTCCTTATTAAAGTGATTTATTGGTCGATTGCCTAATCCGATCTCTTTCAAACATATATCACAAAAAATCATTTTCACATTTCATTCCCAAGTGGCGTTTGTTCCAAACTCTCTTGGGTTCCCCATTAGAGATGACTTAAAAATAGCATGAAAATAAACATACTTTAAACTCATAGAAATTTTAACAATACTATAGTTCAAGAAAAAAAGATAAATGACAGACTTTTGAGCTAGCTTGTTGAATTTAGTACACAAATAATTGAGTGGTGCTCTTATAAGTAATTAGAAACATTTACATACATACCACATAATTCACATGGATTTACATATCTAACACATAATACATTTAAATTTACATTTTTACTGCTCATAATTTTTATGTGGTATGTACGTAGTCGAGTGGTGTGTAAATTCATAAAAATGAAGATTTACAAATAAAATTGACTGAGAGATGAAAATGAATCAAAACTAAGAGCTTAGATTAAAAATTTATCATTGGTGTCCTCACAAGTATTAGAGACGCATCTTCGATCTAGTCAATAAAATATCATATCATAAATAGATTTGTGCATGTGAGCAAACATATTAACGAAATTTGAATCAACATCATCGAAATGGCTCTAAAGAGGTAGCCAAGTGAGAAAAGCATCTCCAATTTAAATGTGTTACACCTAATGTTATTTCTTTGCATCACAGCCTCAAACAAAAAACACAAAACCCCCTTTTCGCAGGTTGCAAAATAGACTTTTATTCATCGCTACATGAGAGTATAAAAAGAAAATAGCTTCCGGGATTAGTGTAAAAAAGAATCGCAAGCAACCAAAATTGATAGTCAATCATAATATAGCATATGAACACCATAGCAAGCTCAACATAACAAAAAATAAAAATAAAAATCCGATCACTGCCATAGAAACAAAGTATTCCAGAAGAAACATCAAGCGTTCAAATTAGTATATAACTGAAAATTGCACTTGCATAAACCTGAAGCATTAAACCACAATACCACCACAGTACTCCAACATATGAATAGGGTGCGACAAATGTAAAAAAGCAAAGTGAAGGTGTTATATATATAATAACATAAGAATTGGGTGTATTGTATCTTAATGCCCTTCTACTCAATATTCAATGAAAGCAACATTAGGCAATTTATCCTACTAGCATAAAAATTTTAATGGAGATGATCTTTGAAATTGCTTAGGTTGACATCAAATTATATTAACCCGTGCAATACTCCATGAATGTAAAAATTGAAGCAAATCAATGAAATACATAGCTTCACATAAAGTACCACTAACCTATGTAATACTCAATACAATAATGAATGAACGTATGGAATTACGGATGCAAGAATAACTTATGCAATAATCAATGAACCTGTTGTAATCAGTATAAATATAATCATATAAGTTATACACAATTGAAGCCACAAATATGTTACTAATTTGATGAGCAAAAGTAGGATTACTCCAACAACCTCCACAGCACTCACGCCATGGCATTCTCCACTAAAACTAGGATTATCCCACATCCGAAAACAACAGCCTCTACAACACTCATGCCATGGAATGCCAGCCACTAGCAAAACTAGGATTACTCGACATCCAAAAACAACAACAAGCTCCATAGCAAAACTAGTATTCACCTCATTTTTTATTGAAAAAAGAAGAAAACCAGAGCAGTCAAGCCAAATGGAGGGACCGAACACAACTTTCTCCCCCATCCGAACACAACCACCTTCACATCAATCATTAGATTACAAAAAAAGGCGTTTCTACGCAAGGATGGCATAATAACAACCTAAACAACGGCAACCGAACAACTCCAGCAACCCAAACAAATTTGGCAACCAAAACAACATAATAGCAATGATAACTCTATCAACCCAAACAACTCCGACAACTGAAACAACTCAGAAATTTGAGGGATAAAAGTAAATCCAAATAACAGCAACTCAAAACAATGTTTGAAATAGCTTCCCCAGCAGAGAAGCGTTGGATGTGAGACTGCAGCAAAGATGAAAGGATAAGATGAAGAAAATGGCCTCAGAATGGAGACGAGAAGAAAAAACCGTAGGGGTTCGAAGGGCAAAATGAGTTTAGACCGCAGTCAAATCTACAGACGCACTAACAGTATTGAAGTCGCAAAACGTCGTTCCATAGACCCACATTTCTAGAACATGTTGAAAATCGAGCGCCCCAAAAGATCATAACAGTGTGGTTTAAAACGCAACGCAGCAGGGAAAATGCGTCAAACGGGCTTTTAAGCAAATTATCAAACAAGCAACCTCACTGTTTCGTTTCGGTTACATAAAAAAATTGTTGCTACTAAATAAACCTAAAGCTAATATTGCCTTCAGCAATTGTATTGAGAAATGAACGTTCTCTGCAACAAAAAATGAAAAAAAAAATCAGTTTAAGAAGATAGACAAACCATGTTTTCATGATCAGGAGCAATCCTGTTTGTGCATAGATATACTGCAGGAAGTACATCAGCAGGTGACAAAGAAAGCAAACTGTAAAACAGAAATAAATTATAAGAACAGCTATTTGACCTCCATTTTTATCTCACGAGGGTAAAAAAAATGAAATAATGAAACTTTTCACAGCAGACCTTCTGAACATGTTACAAAACATAGCAGAAGTTTTTATCTTTCCTTTCTCTTGTTCAGCCAGTTCAAAAGTACGAGCCAAGTGGAGATATGGTGCGGGCTCCTCAGCCTTCCAGCAAGCTGCAAGAATTTATCAAGTTTTTGTGTTACATGAGTCTTTAAAAAAAAAGCAGGAAAAAAACAGAAAAACATGGGCAGTCACAGAAGGTCTCAGCTCCTCAAAAAACAACAAATAAATTTGTAAATAAATGGAGGATTCATAAAGATGATCACATGGAAAAGGCTATCAACACTAAAAATGTTGAACAAAAGCACTTGATTTCATTAACAAGAGGCGCAAACCATGTTCAATGGGTGAATACTTTTCAATTGGCAGCAAAACATTTATCAAATTATCATCATCCTTTGAAATTTCTCCTAGTGACATCCCAAAAAAATCTGATTTTTCAGAGGAAAGAATCTTCAATTCCGCAGCGTCGCTAATGGCATGACCATCAGAAGTTCTGTAATAGATATCCACTGCTAAATCTACGTTTCCCTTTACTTTATTCATTAAAGTAGCTGCAGCATTCCTCTCCATGCAATAGTTTATCACCTGAAGAAACAGATCTAACTCGCACTTATATGGTTCAGTGTTATCAACTATCGGTGTTGGTGTAGTTTTACCAAAGAACTTTGTTATTGTTGATTGTTTTGGCCCGAATGAATCAATAGTCCAAAAAATCTTCCCTTTCTTTTTTAACCTACTACTAGTGCTAGAAGCCTTTCTCTTCGTTCCACTAGAGCTTCCTATATCCCTCTTATTAATGGCCATGTTGTTATCTTGACTTGAATTGTTAGTAACAAAATCTATGGCTCCTTCAGAAATTTTCAAATCCGGAGTCGGTATAATCTGATTATTTGATCTTATTTGAGAATGACTAGGCGGCGATGAAACATTTGAGCGATTATAGTACTCAGTTTCACGTTCAAAAAAATCAGAAACTGCTTTAACAACATCTCCATCAGCACATCTAATCAAGTTCAAAATCTGGTCCTCGTTCACCCAAGATGGCAAGCAATGACGAAGCTCCTCTATCCTAGCTTTCATGTCCTCTTCCTTCATTAAGCTTGCTTCCCCAAAAATGCAATTTTGTTCCCCAGATCGAGCCATTATCAGAGCTAAATCTTCTCTTTTTTCAGTATCCACAGGTTCATCAGGTTCATTCGTGTTACTAGAGATAAAATTTCCACTCCTTCCATCAGCTTTCACAGCCTTCTGGTGCAAAGGAATCAAAAAATCATGCTTATTAGCTGTTTCATCAACCAAACCCCTAAAATATTTCTGCACAGACACTGAATGCTTCCCGTCCAACTTCTCTGCATCAAAACCAACAGTTGGGATAACACGTTTAGGCCTCAAAAACCTCACATACTCTCTAAGCTCGTCATAGCTTGAGTGTTCACTGTATGGAACAAGATGAATCGTGAGAGATTCCTTGACCCTCAAGGCAAATCCATCCCTCTTCGCCTCATACATCCAACCAGTTGAAACAAAACCTACAGCCTTGGAATAACCTCTCTCCACTATAATCTCCTTCATCTTCACAAAATTTGGTCGGAAATAAGGCCAAACCTCGCCTAACAAATTCCAACCAATCACATGAACATCAGTAGCCGAAGCATCCTCAGTGAAAACACCAATATCACTCAACCCTAAAACTGATAAAATCCCCATCTTCCTGCCATCCACATGCACCAAGCAATTGCATCTTTGAGCAATCTCAAGCAAAATCCTTTCTTTTCCAACAACATAGGTAGCAATAAGAAACAATACTGATTTGACTAATCCTCGATTTTCTTCCTTCGTTCTCTGGATAGTTTTTACAACATACTCAATCGATTCCTCTTGCGACTGAAACACAAATTTGGGATTGCAGTAAGTAGTATCCAAGAACACAGCATCGGCGCCAACAAATTTCAGTAAGAATGGGTCAAGTTTCATGGACTTGCAGAATCTGAAGTCACCGGTGTGAACATACCTTTCAGGTCCAACTTCAAACAGGAATTGGACTGCACCAGGACAGTGATTTGCGTCCACTAAAGTGACAGTACTTCCATCTATCGTGACAGTCTTGTTAAGGGGTAGGGAATAGACAAAGAGATGAGGAACTTTGAGGATTTCCACGAGAAGCGAAGCGGTTGTCTCAGAGCAGAATATGATGCCACGGCACCAGGTAGGGCTCAGCCCTGTATAATGGTCAGAATGGAAATGGGAGAGAAAGTAAGAGATTGAAAAATCTCCGGCAGTGCGGAAGCCATCGACGATGAAGCGGGAGTTTGGAATAAGCTTAAAGGTCGGTAGAGAAGAGGGGAGGGTGGGAAGAGGGGAGCAATGGGAGAGCAATTCGAAGGACTTAGGAGGATGCACTTGAGGCGATTCAGCTGCGAAGGTGGCGACGGAGGAGAGGAAGAGGGAAGAGGTCGTCAGGGTTAGGTTTTCAGTATCCATATGAACTGAAGGGACCTGAGGGTCGATAACAGAACCGGGAAGAATCGAGCGCCAAAGACGGTACGCTGTCTCGCAGGTTAAACGTTATCTTAATGACTAGGAATTTATATACCATTCTGGTATATTTACATTTTTAATATTTTCTATATAATTATTTATTCAAATATATTTATAAAATACATTTAATTTAATAATTAATATTTATTGTGAGCTGGAAAATATGCATAGGTGGGGTAATAATTTAACGTCTTGATGTTGTATAAAATTCATCATATACATAGATAATAAAAGAAATAAGAGAAGACACTATCAATTTTTACGTGGAAAAATTCAAAGGGTCAGAAAATCCGGAGAGTGTCTAGCCCAGTTAAAATGATTCATTATAAACTCGTAAATACAAAGACAAATCCTTTTCCCATAACTGAGAAAGGGTTACGCGGTCTCTCTAAATACAATTTTCGTATATAGAAAGGTTTGATGTATAACAATTGAAAGCAGCTGATGCTCGAAGTTATCACCAGTCTTTGATACATTGTGTTTGGGTTATGCCGTTGTGCAGCATTTAGAATGCTGCTTTACTCCATATGCAAGAGACATCACCACTCCTTAGGTATTCCATCACTCTGTAATGTGCATCATTATTTAATAGAATACTTCTTTATACTGCAATGTGTGTCGCTACTGTGCATAGTAGTTTATTACTTTGCAATATACATTGTTCATTTGCAGAGTATTTCGTTACTTCACAAAGTCCACCAACGAACAGGGGGCAATCAACGGTAGGTGAGTAAGCGCACTAACGAACAGTTGTCAGTAGATACAGAGGTCGAAAGTTATTGTCTGATTTTCAGCCCATAAAAACACTGAAATTGTGCTCCTTCTCCTTCCTCCTCCTCTTCCCTCTATGTGAAAAGAGAGGGTCTATTTATAAGCCGTAAAGGATGTGCATTTTCATCATTTGGCAAATAACCACCATAATCTCCCGATCAAATGACTTAAATTGATCCCCTTGATTATAGGAGATTCTTTCTGATTTGATGGCCTTAATGAGCATAAAATTAGGTGAACTTGGGATCCTTAGATTCATCTCATTGAAACTCTTGATTTAATTACAGACATGTAAAATTTGGAGTTCATTTGATCCTCAAATAACTAACCAAAGCATTCATAAGCGATATAACATATTGATTTGGGTTGATCTGACTCAGATTGGATCAATATTGATAACATATGGTCTCTCATTAAGTCAATTAGTTTGATTATAAGATTGTTGCAATCGAAGATCTAGATGAACTTTAATTTGAATCGGAACATTTCTTACTCGCAAAATGCCTCAAAACTCTTAGCAAATGTATGGTGATTCATTTTAAATGATAAAGATATTTGATGACGCATCAGTTTCCCCCTATTTTCAGGCATTGGTGCTTTTATTATCTGAAAATATGTTGTATGAAAATCTTCGTCATTATATCAGATCCCCAAAAAAACTTGTATGCAAGGTTCTTGAACCCATAAATGACAATTTGAATTGGAAATAAGCCACCTAAACGGAGTAAGGCATTACTCTACATGTCGCTAATTGATGACTCGTATCATACAAGATGATCAAGTCTTTTCAATTGACTACATAATCGAGCCACTGATCAGTTTTAGTTTATGCCTTGAGATCCCCCATTTTTAGAGCTCTCCTCACTTCAGCACTTTTTGGCTTCCTCAAATAGTTGAACTCTTCTTCTTCCTCGGTGCCTCTTTCTCCTTGGAGCTAGAGTTTCATCTTGAAGGCCTTGAGGTGAAGAGCTTGGGGAAAAGGTGAGAATGAGAGCTTCTACTTCCTCTTCTCCTTCTTCTTCTTCTACAAGAAACTCTTCTCCTCCTCACCTCCTCCTTCTTCCTCCATCACTTACCTTGACTGTGTAAGTAGATCTTCTCGGGGAGGAGCTTAGCTAGCAAGGAAGCAAGGTGTCTCTTCTCCTACACTAAAGGAGAGCTTAATCCTAGCTTGGGGAAGGATCTTCAGAGCACCACGGGAACATTGTCAGAATCTCGCTGGACTCTCCTTCTAAATGATTGCTTCTTTGTTCTTTGGAAGAGTGGAGCGAACCTCGCAAGAGCTTCATTGGAACTTCATCCTCTCTCCTACCATTAGGAGAGCATTATCCTACGTGAAGAAACGTGACATCAAATGCCATGTTGATGAGATTATCTAAAAGAGAGCTTCATTGGAACTTCATCCTCTCTCCTACCACTAGGAGAGCATTATCCTACGTGAAGAAACATGACATCAAATGCCATGTTGATGAGATTATCTAAAATCCCTCACATTTTCTTCCTTAACTAGCCCTAGGAATAGACTTTGCTAGACATTGTGGGTTTGATAGCCCACACGAGGCAAGTTGGCCGGTTGACACTAGTTGTACACCTTTTGAATGACTAATTTTGTAGTGTTATCATGGGTTTTGTCGCCCATGCTAGGCAAGTTGGTCGGTCGACACTAGTCAATGCAACCATATTCCTTTTGATTTATTGTTTATTTTCTAGAGAAAGCCCTCAGTTAAGAAGCACCTGAGTGGTCAAATTCTTTGCAAAGCTGAGTGACTTTACATTGCAAGAATTAAACCAAAATTCTGGTTGGTTTAAGTCTCGATTTCTCACGGCTTTGATGCTTCTAACCTTCCTTAGAGGGGTTGAAATAGTTGGATCTTACGGTATGGGAAAAACTTTGTAGCTAGCCCATTCTACAAGACTGTGGGAGGTTTGTAGGATAAAAAAACTTTGTAGCTATTCCGTACTACAAATGGTGAATAACTTTTTCTACGAGAAATCAAAGAACCATGTTTCTCTACCAAAATCAAAGGCAGCTATGTTGATACACCTAAAAAATATAGTGTCTTTAGACACATTTTTTATGCCTATTTTTGAGATATTGCGCTTTAATGGAAGATATTTTTGTATTTTTCTTGCAAATACAGGTAAAAATGGAAAAAAACCACTTAAAGGAGTGGAAAAAGATCAAATTTGGAGCAAAAAAGATGAAAAATTGTGTAAAGGAGTTTTGGCGCCTAAGTGCCAGTCAAACAGAGAAGGCCGCGCCTAAGCGCCGAGACCCCGTGCTTAAGCACCAGTGGTAGTAACTAGATGAGTGAAATCGGGTTTCTAAAATGAATTTGGAAGAGGTTTTTGAGGCACTCATTGACTTAATAGGTGGTTGTAACCACCATGGACAAAAACTATCATGAAAGGATGCGTCTTTTGGGCAAATACATTGAATCAAGACACATTTTGAAGAGATCCTAAGGCACCTCTTGGAAAACCATAAAAGAAAGAAGAGAGGACTTAGAAAATGTCCTAAAAATATTGTTAGGTTTTGAAAGTTCTTCTCTGTGGAGTTAGTTCGGAGAGATGTTCAGGAACCACTTTTTATTTACTTTATCATTTTTGTTATTTTGTTTTGAGTGATTGTAAAAGAGAAGAGAATCAAAGGAACTTCAAGAGTTTTGTCGAGGACTTGAGATAAGTTTTTATCTTTTTGTTTTAGACTACTTTTGGTTTTAATCGCGACTTGTTAGTTTGACAATGATTTCTTCTTTTAAATTAAAGTCTGTAATTTTATTTTCTCCATAGATTTTAAGTAGTTTTCTTTATCTTTCTTCTTAAAATGATAAGTAATGAATTTTTGGATGAAAGTTGTAGAGAGTATTGATCTTTAATGATGGAAGAAGTTGTGATGATTTAAATCCATGCACTTCATTTACTTCTTGATTTGGCCAATAGAGATGTTAAAATTTATTGTGAGAAAATGTAAGAATCGGGTGTGTATTGTCTCAGTCAACAATTTGAAAGAATCACATGAGGTTGTATGAATGAGAATGCAGTTCATATGATTGAGTGCAAATAAATAAAGAAATATTCATTGATGGGTGTAGAGTTAGAGGACTTTAAA